CAGGTGGAGCTCCATGCACTCCAGCTGGTCATTGACATAGAGGGCGACGCCCCCTCCTCATCTGCCCTGCCTGTCCTTCATAAAGAGTCTGTACCCTTCCTTCCCAACACTCCAGTCATAGGAGCTATCCCACCATGTCTCTGTAATGCCAATAAGGTCACAGCCTTGCAGGCACACACACATCTCCAACTCCTCTTGTTTATTCGCCATGCTCCGTGCATTTGCACAGAGGCATTTCAGTTGTGCCACCGATGAGGCTGACTTATTGGCTGGGGTGGCTGGAATTCCTTTGATGTGTTCTCCCAGTATCTAAATGGTGGGTGTCAAGAGGATGGGGCCAGACTCTTTTCAGCGGTGCCCAGTGACAGGACAAGGGGCAATGGGCACAAACTCGAACCCAGGAAGTTCCATCTCAATATGAGGAAAAACTTCTTTACTGTGAGGGTGACAGAACACTGGAACAGGCTGCCCAGAGCAATTGTGGAGTGTCCTTCTCTGGACACTTCTCTCTTGGACGTGATCCTGTGCAACCTGCTCTAGGTGATGCTGCTCTAGCAGGGGGGTTGGACTAGATGATCTCCAGAGATCACTTCCAACTCCTACCACTCTGAGATTCTATAAAGGGGAAATAATTGACAGCACGAGAAATAGAAATAAATACTTTGGTCATAGCTGTTTGAGTAATATGAGGTCCCACCCACAGGTATGACCTTTGCTACAGACACATAGCAACTTAAAGGCGTACTGGATTACTGCTGTTTGCTCAGAAAGGCCAATAAAGGGTTTTCACACCTTGATATATTAACCCTCTGGCAGTTATCATCATCTTCTGAACCACTGAAGTTTGGACTCCATAGATAGTATTTTGGAAGTTCTTCTAAAAGCATGAAAATTCACTTGTGTGGTAACCTTGTCTTTCTGATTTTATTAGGGTTAAACCAACTGCCAGATTTGGAAGGTATTCCTCTCCTCACATTATGCTGGCAGGAACAACAGAATGACATTTCCTTTTTTTTTTTTTTTCTTTTCTTTTGGTTTTCCACCATCTCACAGAGCATATTCAGCTTCTTGGAGACACCTGGAAACATTGTGTTGCAAATTCCCTGCTTCTGCTTGGAGGCTTTTTTTAGCTCTGTGGCACATTGCTAGTTTTATACCAGGAAGTACTGATACTGAGCACTGCTGCTAATCAAGCCATTTCTTGCAGATCAGACTAAGCATCTGAAAGTTTAATTTACAACTGCACATTTGTAAATATCTACTGCAGAGAGAAGGAAATTAATACTATAGTATCAATGCATTTCTGGCCTTACTGAGCATCATGACCGTGATCTCAAAAACACATTAGTCAAACACTTTTTTATTTGTTTCAGGAGGTCTCTGAGCATCTGAGCCGATCCCGTTCACTCTTCCTAAGGTATGAACTAATGCAACCACTGAGGAACAATTCGGTGCTGTGAAGTGAGTGGTGACCTTGCAGCAGAAGAAGCCCTGAAGGCAGATGCTCTGCCCAATATCCTGCCATGACTAGCCTTCTCCTTCACAGAGGTCCTGCTGGTGCCTGAAGCCCTCCTCCTTCTGTGCTCCACCACTCATGTTCACTTCTGCTTGTTCTTCCTTTGCAGGAAACTGAACATTTTTTGACAATAGAATATTGAGGGCTGGCCTTGGAGAATACAAATAAATCACTCCGCTAGCTTTACAATCCCAAGTCAGACTTGGCACTGAGGAAGGCAATGGCTTTGTCCTCAGGGAATGCACATTACTGGACAATGGCTCACCAGGGATCCATTTCTGCAGCTTGCATCAGACCACAAAATAATTGTAGCCCCCCCGTCACCTCCCGCTGCCGAAACCTTTTCATGCAAACCCAATACAGTCACAAAACCAGGGGAAACTGTAGGTGATAGAGACTGACTTAGCACAGTCATCTCTATATCTAAGCCATATAGAGAATGCTTTTGTAATCCCTTTGTTCTGCAAGCTGGTTTTGGGTGTGTCAGTCAGAGGAAAGCTTCTCACTACCAACTAGCATTGTTTCACTCATTTTTCAGGTTAAAAAGGAAATATTTTCTTGCTGTATCTTGTGTGAGTTACAGAACAGATCACAGGAAGGTGATGCCCAGTTCATAATGCTGAGCAGATTTCTCAGGGCACTGGAAAAAGCCTATTCTTTTCACAACTGATCTGTCATGACCAATAGCTTCTGCAGATACTCACCAGCTGGCTCAGGTCTTGCTCTCAGGGTGCCCACATGAGTAGAGGGCTCTTCTCAGTTGTGAAGTTTCATAAATATCTGGGTATTGCTCCACAACAAGCTGTCCACTGCCATAGCTCTCCTGGATGCTGGGCAGCTTGCATAGAGTTAGCCTGAGAGTGTCTGGCTAGTCACTGATCACAGATGTAGAAGTGTCCTCTCCCAGATTGAGGGTCTTCCTTGCTTACGTGAGGACCCAGGTTCAAGGGTGTATGAGTGGTCCTTGGAACTCCACAGAATGGTCCCATGAAGGGAAATGGCATAACCATCACCACCTGGAGATCCATAAAATCACAAGCTTTTGCAAATGACATCTTCTGTTTCTGTCTCTCCATCAGGTTCTGCTCAACTTTCTGATGATATCTGGGTGCCAGAAAAGTTACCTGCCATGCCACAGCTATGTGACTTGATGCCGTTTGTGTAGCTGCTCTTTCTCTCTTGGTGCATTGGGGTGACTAGACAAGAGTTGTTTTGCTATTCTGAGGCCAGTGGTAATAAAGAGATATAATATCTGTTTTGCATGTCAAAAAATGGCTCTCCTGTTAATTCCAGCTTCTGGCAGGCAACCTTGTTTGCACTCCCAGATCCACTTCTGAATGGGACTCGCCCTCTTTTGCAGACTCTTGCTGCCAGAACCTTGCTTTCAGTTTCACCGAGTGGGGTAGTTCATTTGCGTAAGAGCAAGCTACCATAAGGAAATGTTCAGCTGAGTAACATTACGTCTAAAGTTTAGTCTTTGGGAATAGAAACTGAAACAAATGGAAGATTAATAAAAGGACATCCATCACCCAAGAGGCACCAGACAGATCCAGAAATATCCATGGCTGCTGTCACTGATAGAGGTAAGTACATGTATGTGAAAAGTAGATCTATTTCTCCATGTTCAGTGTAGATATTTACTGTAGTTGTATCTAAGGGACTGTTAAGTACATATGTGTGTGTTGGCACATGAAGATACACAGGAGACGCTTGTGGATTTGTGTGTGCTATCTTTTTGAATGCATTACCATATCTTGAGTCTTAGGTCCAGCTTCAAAATATTAATATAAATTTGTTAACCCTGATGTGGCATTAGGCAGGAAGAATGCAAATTCTAAAAGACCTCTTAATGTGGAAAGAGATCTCAAAGGCAAGTAAGAATGGAGCAAATTAGTTGGCTTATCATTTCACTTATTTTTTTCTCAATGCAAGAAACAACTAGAAAATGCCTCTTAAAGAATCAGTGCAATAAGGCTGTGCAAAGAACTGATCAGGTCTCTGTTAATGGGAAAGACTATTT